CCAAAAACTAATAATTCATTCGTTATTTCATTAATATATTTGTTTTATTTTCTGTGATTCATTAACGTTACACATCAAAACATATAAATTTTGATTAAAACAAGAAAAAGAAAACTGAAAAACTTATTTAGTGTTTCAAAAGGTGTTTCTAACGAACAACCCTAGATAAAGGAACCCTAATTTGATTCAATCTTAACCTTTTTGTCAACCAAGATAATTATAAAAATACGTTGTGTTTGTGCTCCGGAATCAACCATAATCGACATCGCTAACTTTAACGCATCTCTTTTCATGAGAGCCAGTCTTTGGTGTTTACTATAAATTCCCCACTTCTCTTCCAAATTGAATATGGGAAATATCAATTTACTTTATGCATTTATTCGAAAATTTCATTGGACCTAATATCATTTTTGGTAAAATTTATATTTATATTGAGAATTTTTAATGGCTGTACTGTCTGAAGGATATATGTGCTTTCGGCTGCAATACCATTTATGTGTTTTGTTCTCATTTCTACTTGACACATAATTAATAAATAGAAATAAAAGGCCCCAAACAACTCTAAATTATATATGTAAACAATAAAAGAAGAATCGGTGCCTGATTGGATGATTTTTAAAAGCGTACTATCGAAATTACGACTTTATTATATAAAGTTGCAGTTGCAGAGAAGCACATGTCGAATGTTCTGTAACTTTTTACCATAAATAAAATTATAAACCAATTATTTTCATTTTTTGACAAAAAAAAAAAAAGTTATTTTCATTTATTGTAACCAATAAGAAAAACCCATAAACAAACAAATTCCAACTTGTTACTATCTTATGTAAACGACAGACCACATTATTTATTGTCTGATATAACAGTACTATAGATTTTACAATATATTATTATATATACCATTGGTTAATTTGTAAAATTAGAAGAAAAATTAAATCATAAAAAAAATTGGAGAAAAGGGAAAAGGTAATCGCAACGCGTAGGGCGTTGGTTGATCGTAATCGCACTCGCTTTTGGAATATTTGACTTATGATCGCTTTAATGGGATTGGTGAAAACGACACGCATTTCTTCTCTCCCACACCATTTGCCAAAACGTGACGCATTTCGATCCTCTTCCTCGCACTTTCCGTTTTACATTACCAAATTATATACTTTGGTTCCTTAATTAAAATACTCGTTGATATAATTAACTATACATCAATTGCATGGACAAAATGCAACCACATCTAAAACCAATGCGCATGTACTTTCAACATGATTCACGTGATCCTAAAAAAACACGTATGCGTATTCTGTTTGCTTTTTATGTTTCCTTATTACATTAGAATGCGTAGTGCGTTTTCTTTAACATTAAAGAAATTTATAGTTGATTAGCAATGAAAATTCAAAGAAAAACTTGATTTTTCATTTGGCTTGTGGTGAAGACTAATAGACTATATAGTGTTGTTTTAAATGGCAGGTGAAATCAATTATGATGGCAAAGTTGATTAAAGCACAATTCAATCATTTTCACAAATCATTTTCAATTCAATCAAGTT